CAAGTCCGTCCCGTCTGCGGGCTGTCCGGGGACTGTCCCGCGGCTCGGCGCGGTCACACGGGTGATCTGCAGGTCACACGGGACATCCGAGAAAAACATGCGAGGACCAGGCGCGCTGAGGTAGCCGCAGTTTGGGTGCCATTTAAAACCTGCGAGCTAAGCTAGCTTAATGATAACAAAGCGACGGGATGTTTCGGAATTCCTCCGCTGAGAGAGAGGTTGCCATCTTTTCTTATGCACAAGGAGAACACCTGACGTCTCATTTAGCAGAGCACACACAAAGTCCTTGGTGTTGCTAAGACCTTCAGGGAACGGGTTTTTAAAGAAAATCCGAACATTGTGCTTAAATAGACTTCATTTTTAAAGAAAATAATTATATTCCAATAAAGTGCCGCTGAAGTTAGGTCAAATAAGCAAATTTAATTACCGCCAATATGGCTAAAACTATTTTGTCTAATGTGGTTTTTATTTTAAAAGTGATACTTTTATTAAGAGATATTGACCGCATTGTTTTTTTTTTGTTTGTTTTTGTGCTGAACGCTTGCATAAACCAATGCACAACTTTCAACCTTGTTTTTACACAAATCTTGACTACAGTAATAATATTAAATGTAAGTTCTAATTATCAGGATTTCCTTCAAATTGATTTTTTTTTTGTAAAGTGATGTAATGGTGTTTCCAAACATCACCTCTAGAGGGCAGCATAACAAAATGTCGAAACTAGAACTGAGCGTTTAAAGTCACATGGAGGGGAAAAAAACCAATGTTCTGAAACATAAACATTTTATTAGGTTATTTAGCAAACAGTATGATGAAAGTGAGAGTCATGTTTGTAGGATGCATTTTATTTTTTTTATAATAAAAAAATATGTTCATATACAAAGTAGATTCATATACTTTGTATATGAATATATTGGAATTTAGTTTTAAAGGCACATACTTCATGTTTTAAAAAATGGGTAATGAATAGTGTGTTTTCCACTTTCCACTGGCTTGCCTAACTTGTATCTTAAATGGTTTTTGTTTTTATTTTTAATTTTTTCAACACAGCTACTATAAGTAGACAGACGCCATGAATCCTGTATACAGCCCTGCACCAGCAGGGGTCCCCTTCACCAACACAAAGGGTTTGAGCTATCCAGGTACTTTCTTCTGCAGCAACACATGAAAAAAAAAAAAAAAAAAGCAACACAGATTCATAAAGGTTCTCCAAATCAAATCTTTTTTTCCCCCGCCCCTTTGTTTGGTCACAGCAGCTGGATTCCCTGTCGGATACGCGACCGCTGCACCGGCATACAGTCCCAGTGTTTATGCAGGAGCAAACCCGGGCTTCCCCAACGGTGAGAACTGAACTGTCGCTTTGAACGTTTTTCTTTTGCCTTCCTTTATCATCGGTAAACCTGAATGGTTGTTACAATTATTGTGGCATTTTAAGTTATTGCTTAAAATAACTGAAATGTTACTGGAGTTGCAACAGTAGCATTTGACTTTTTACCAATGATTATGAATTAAAAGTTCCCAATCTCAAAATGAAACATTAATAACAAAAGAGATTATTCAGTCACATTTATTTAATAGGACTTGTAATAACTTCACTAACTGTGACTTCTTATTTTATTTGAAAAAAAAAAAAAAGAAGTTTCTAAATGTGGATATTTTCAATGCCAGTTAACTGTTTTAAAAATTTACAGTATGTGCAAGCAATAGCAGTTTGTCAGCGCATCCTTAAAAAGTGTTAAATTTATTCATCTTAAATTAAGGCCTTAAAATATCTTAAATTCATTTTAAAAAGGTAAGTTTGTCTTGGCAGGACTATTTCATTTCATATACTCCATGTATTTCTTTTTCTCACTGGATTTTTTTTTTTTTTTGTCAGGCAAAAGAGTCGCACTCAAACATCTTTGTTGCGTTCTGTGACTTGAGGCGGTCATAATGGTCTTTAAAAAAGTTTTCCAAGTTGGTGAAACCCTGAATAAAACAAAGTGTTTCCTCTTGCTAGGCTATGCCACTGGCACTGCTTTCAAAATGTCCTGCTCTCCCAACACGGGGACCGTCCCGCCATACTCCTCCTCTCCGAACCCGTATCCCACTGCCGTTTACCCTATGAGGAGCACCTATCCCCAACAGAGCCCTTACGCACAGGTCAGTGACCGGGAAAAGGTTTGGACTGTCATGTCTGACGGCGTGATCGTATTTTCCTAAAAATATTTTTGCTCCTCTTTGATCCAGGCGCTAATACCGTCACAACAGCAAGGCACCTATTACACGCAGCCGCTGTACGCTGCTCCGCCTCACGTCATCCATCACACGACGGTGGTCCAGCCCAACGGGATGCCTGCGGCCATGTACGCCCCGCCCATCCCTCCCTCTCGCCCTAACGGCGTAACCATGGGGATGGTAGCGGGCACAACCATGGCCATGTCAGCAGGTGAGCTTGGGCGGTTTCCAACACGTTAGCGGTGCGCTTCGGGACGAAACGAAACGTGTTTGTTTGTGTTTCTTTCTAGGAACTTTGTTGACAAGTCCATCACCAGCACCCGTTGCCCCCCACCAAGTTACGATGCCCACGTATCGGCCCCCCGGCACCCCCAGCTACAGTTATGTGCCCTCACAGTGGTGAAGAGACTGAAGCGTGAGTCCAGTGTATGACTGAATATCCAAAATCTCTCAATATTGCAGAAATATTCACGTCCCTTTAACTTTTTCACATTTTATCACATCACAAACGTCAAGAGTGTTAAAATTGATCAGTGCGAAAAGATTTTAATTTTAAGAAATAAATATGGAATGCGGACACAGCGGTTACTTTTTCAACAATTTGTTAAAGGGTTTTATCGATGCATTCTGGCATCCATAAAACATTGAGAACATTCATGATCCTAGTATGAAAATGAGTTTGTTTTTTATGTGTCAAAATGTGAAGAAAAATAAAGTAGTTCAAAGGGTGTGAATAGTTTTCGAGCGGCGCGCAGAAACCCGTCTTGACTCATGCCCGTTCTTCTCCCCGCAGGTCGCAAAGGCGTTAGATATGCATTCACACTCTACTCCAGTGTTTTTTGCTCTCGGCAGCGGCCTGCCCTCGCAGCGTCTGCAAACCACTTAGTCTTCTTCCAGCATAATGTGAATCTAAAGCCCAACTAACATAGATCAGAGCCTCGTTCCAACATGGAGGGGGCTTGGAAGGATAGGCCCATCTCCATGTATCCCTCCCCTTACCCCATCCCTCTTATATCAACAAGGCTGCATTCCCCCATCCCCCCCACTTTCCTTCCAGTCCCCGCCAGCATCAGCACCTCTGCAGCCTGGCCTCATATCTCACATCAAACTGCAAAAAAAAAAAAAAAAAAAAAAACCTCCAGGCGAACCTTTTGTGGACTGTCATGCAGGTTTTTATAGCTTAAACTCTGAAGTGGTAAAAAGGGAGTTCTATTTCTTTTTTTGTTTGTTTCCTTTTTTAATTATTATTATTATTTGGAGGATACCTATGACGTTGAATGCATGTGTGTGTGTGTATATAAATATATATATATAGATATATGAAGTAATGCTAGCTTGATCTACCTGCTGTGACAGATGCAAAGTCAATAAAAGGCACACGTCCAAAGGAACTAAAAAAAAAAAAAAAGTAATAATCTGCAATGCTGAATCACCAGTGACTGTCTCATAAATGTGAAAAAAAAAAAAGATTTTTCATGCAAAAACGTGCCTGCGTACTCCGACGCAGAGTCTTACCATTTCCACTGCTTTCGATATGTAACGCAAGGTTTTTATTGTTTCCTTAAATGACGCAGCGTCTTTACTTTACTTTTTTTTTTTTTTTTGTATTTTGGGGGGAGGGGAAAAAAGAGATGGGGAGTGTTTGAGTTCGTGCCTCTGACTGACAGCCATTCCGCAACTTAACCAGCCCGAGTGTTTCATTTCTTTTTCTTCTTCTTTTTCTGTGTTTTTAGGAAAACTTGCTTTCTAAAAAAAAAAAACAAAAATAGAAAAAAGACCAAAAGCAGTTTCGGCCTATTAGAGCTGCAGCGTCTTCGTTTTGGCCAGAAGTGTTCTTTAGCAAGGAACGGAGAGAAGTTGGGGGAATCGTTTGACGAGAACAAATGAATGGGAACGCCATTTTGTGTGTGTGCGTGTGTGTGTGTAGGCGTGGGCGTGTGTGCGCGCACGCGTAAAAGAAACGGTCTTAATGTTGAAAAATAAAAAATGTTCATAAAAAGCGGTGCCATACAAGTGCAACATGCTTTAAACGTTCACATCGAGCTAGTTTGTGTCCAGGTAGCGCTGACGCACTACAGCATTAAATCACTGCTAACTGTGGCTATGTTAGGAAAACATCATATTGTTCAAGTCCAGTTGTGAATAGCACTACTGAATGAAGGCACTAAGTGAAAACAGTTGAAGATGTTTTTTTTTCTTTGATTTACCCTTCGACATGGCTCGCTGTCTTACCTCAAACTAAACCCACCAGTATCACTCGTTTCAGAAATGCTTTTTCTATGTTGCCTCGGTCACCTCAGTTAAATAATCTGTTTTGTAAATGTTATTTTTGTGATTTTGGTTCATGTTTTGTACTCTAAAAATAAAAACCAACTATAAGGGAAAACCTCTGTGTCTCTCTCTTTTTTTTTTTTCAAATACTTTCCACTGAAAAAATAATGACTTTACACTTACGTAACTCATTTTCAGGTATAAGTAGTTCCATTGAATATAATAAATGAGCCTATAAAAACAATTTTATTTTCTCTTTGCAAGTAGCACCTGCCTAAAAATACAGGATATGCAATTGTTGCTAGTAATTTTCTTTTTGGCTTCGTCTTTTAAAATATCTTTTTTTGTAAATATGTTTCTAATTAACATATCATTTCCTTCTACTTCCGAATTAACTATATATTCTTCTATTTTATAACGCCTTGAGAATATATGTGGAAGTTTTTCGTTGCAATGTGACAAAATGTTTCGGCAAGTCACCTTATGAGGGTGAAAGAGTTTGCCTTGAACAGTAGAGGGCGCCAGAACCACAGACGCTCAGCCGCCAGAAGAAGACTTCCCATGATGCAACTCGGCGCGCTAACTTCAAGGTAGAGAGACATGTTTGTTTTCAGTTCAGCGCAGATATTTGCCTCTTTGCTGTAGCTGTGTCTCAAACCTGTTGGTGTAAATACTATTCGTGTCTTTCCTTCGAGCTAAATGAGCCGCAACGAATTTGTAGTATTTTAGTAGCTGAAGCTGTCTTTGAAAATTCGCAGCTGCGTTTATTAAATAGTCAGAGTCTAGCCTACATTTAAATGAATAAAAAAATAACTTGCTGACGGGTCAACCGAGGATGAGCAGTCCAGGAGACCGCAGCGGCTGCTCCGTCAGTCCCGCTGACCTCTTTGAGGACGTTTGGAGGCAGCTAAAAGAGTGCCACCAGAACACGGTACAAGGTAACACACCCCGCCGAGATTAAATACAAGTAACTTAAAACTGTGTTTTAGACATTCACGTTCAGCATTTTTCATCTTCTAGAATATGAGTCGAAAGTGAGTAAGCTGAAAAAGGACCGCTGTCTGTGAGTATGTTGCACCATTTGCTAACTGCACTGATCACCCGCAGGCCAGCTGAGGTTAACTTTGTTTCGTTGCAGAGACGCTCAGAAGCTGGAGGTGTTTTATAATCGCAACCAGCAGCTCAAGGAACAAAACAAAAGCCTCCAGGACTCCATCGGCCTGCTGGAAGACAGGTAACCTCCTCACAGACTCACACTTCTGATTTGCCCAGGGAACTTTTAGGGTAAACAGAATGGTGGATCTTGTTGCATTGCAGACAAGAGAACAAAATTAGGATAGCTTTAAAAATAAAATAAAAGCATGCTTTGTAGGTTCAAGTTACATTTATTTCCAATGCACATATAGAAGCTAAAAGTCCAAATAGCTCCAAATTAAGATGTGGGTAATGACTACTAATGCATTTTCAAACCAATGGGAAGATTTGGATTATGCCTCCATAATTGTTGCATCTGTCTAAGCGGACAGTTGACAGGCTACATCACATTTGAAGTGTCACAATTGTGCTGTAAGACATCTAGCAAACTGAGAAGAACATTTCCTGTTTCCAGGCTCCGTGTCGCAGAGTGTGATCGATGCGCTGCCTTGGAGGAGAAGCTGAAAAGCAGTCAGGATCAGAATATGGTTGTCATCACTAAACTAAGTACTTTTTTTTTTTTCTATACTAAGAGGCACTTTCAACCAGGAGAAAACGTTTGGGAACCACTGATCTAAAGTATAAAAGCTGCAGTAACCCTAACCCCATAAATATTTTTTTTTACACATTTTGAAACCTGTCACCATATAGTGACAGACTGGTATCAGATGGATAATTGAAAAAAATTTAGCTCCTCTGTCTTTCCTCAGTGCAACCAATCAGAGTCAAGAGGCGGGTCTTTGCGCTGTCAATCACTCATCAGTGTGGCTGGTCATCCCCATCCCCACGTGCTCTGATTGTTTTAAATACATTTAGACTAATTGATGTACAATGAGAGAAACCATCCGATCACGCAGCCAAAGATGTTTTAAAAGGTTTATAAAAAAAAAGCTAATAAAAGTATTAAGAAGTTTAGTTATTGATTAATCTATTGCTTATTCTACTTACCAAAGCCTGAAGAACCATGTGTGTTTTGAACCTTTGTCACTCTGACCATCACTGGGCATAATGATCTTACATTCTGGGATGTATTTAAGAGTTTTTTTAAAAAATTTTTTATACCTTCCAGAAAATGAGAATAAAAACCTGGAAGATGAAAACAGAAATCTTCAAGCTGAACTGCAAAAGATGAAGATGCGTCAGTAAGTCTGCTAGCTTAAATAAATGCAGCATGAAATTTAGTTTTCTTTCATTTAAAGTCAAATCATTTATTGTTAAAGTTTCACTTCTGGTGTTGAAAAGACAAAAACAAAACATTTCTAGCTATTCTCTGGTAATGTTAGTGACTTTTTCAGGTTCTGGTGTCAGACAGGAAGGTAGAGGAAGGTTTCACTTCCCCTTTCATCAGCAGATGTTGTTTTTGCATCAGTGCGGACCTGGAGGAGACGTCGGAGCGGGACGAGGGCGTCATCCCGGACTCGCCGATCCTGACCAGCTCACTGCCAGCGGCGAGCAGACTGAGGAAACGTAAACACCCCGACAAGAGCAGACGTGTTCGTTACGCAGAGACGCCGCTGCTGCAGAAGAATAACTCCCTCTTTAATGGTCGGCCCCATCTTGAGGCACCAACAATCAGCTCTCATGGTGATAAAATATATCTTTATCTGTTTTTTTATTCTCATTAAAGAGTTGAAGAAAGAGGCTGATGGAGGTGCAAAGAATTCTGGGAGAGAAGTGCTTGTGCCAAACACCTGTGAACTGGACACATCCCAGAGCTCAAGTATAACCACACCTACTGGTTTTTACAGCTTAATGACACCAGAAAGAGGGAAAAAATACATAAAGAAATCGCATATTTACCAAGTACAATACTCGTACTATTGTTTGTAGAATTTCAGATTAAGATTCTGTAAAGTTTGGTGGTCTTTTTCTTTTTTTTTTTAAGTCGTACTGTGGACTTTTATTTTGAAATTTCTATTATTTCAGATGACATGAAAGAAGAAACTGAGGAGGTAGTTGCAGAAACGTGCGCTTTAGAGGTGCTTGACTGTCGCCATCTTGTAAGTACAGCTCTGTGTGATTAACATACAGCGCCCAACACATGCAACAAAAATATATTCATATTTTATTGCATTAGTGATGGATCTAGTGAAATATTTCTACATTATGGAACAAATTGCTTTAAGCAAGTCAGAAGTGCTATATTTATTTCAACTCTTAATTTCTACAAAATAAAAGTCCCTCCATGTTTTTTAAATTTGTACTTGTAGGTTGATTAGANGCCCCTTTGTTTGGTCACAGCAGCTGGATTCCCTGTCGGATACGCGACCGCTGCACCGGCATACAGTCCCAGTGTTTATGCAGGAGCAAACCCGGGCTTCCCCAACGGTGAGAACTGAACTGTCGCTTTGAACGTTTTTCTTTTGCCTTCCTTTATCATCGGTAAACCTGAATGGTTGTTACAATTATTGTGGCATTTTAAGTTATTGCTTAAAATAACTGAAATGTTACTGGAGTTGCAACAGTAGCATTTGACTTTTTACCAATGATTATGAATTAAAAGTTCCCAATCTCAAAATGAAACATTAATAACAAAAGAGATTATTCAGTCACATTTATTTAATAGGACTTGTAATAACTTCACTAACTGTGACTTCTTATTTTATTTGAAAAAAAAAAAAAAGAAGTTTCTAAATGTGGATATTTTCAATGCCAGTTAACTGTTTTAAAAATTTACAGTATGTGCAAGCAATAGCAGTTTGTCAGCGCATCCTTAAAAAGTGTTAAATTTATTCATCTTAAATTAAGGCCTTAAAATATCTTAAATTCATTTTAAAAAGGTAAGTTTGTCTTGGCAGGACTATTTCATTTCATATACTCCATGTATTTCTTTTTCTCACTGGATTTTTTTTTTTTTTGTCAGGCAAAAGAGTCGCACTCAAACATCTTTGTTGCGTTCTGTGACTTGAGGCGGTCATAATGGTCTTTAAAAAAGTTTTCCAAGTTGGTGAAACCCTGAATAAAACAAAGTGTTTCCTCTTGCTAGGCTATGCCACTGGCACTGCTTTCAAAATGTCCTGCTCTCCCAACACGGGGACCGTCCCGCCATACTCCTCCTCTCCGAACCCGTATCCCACTGCCGTTTACCCTATGAGGAGCACCTATCCCCAACAGAGCCCTTACGCACAGGTCAGTGACCGGGAAAAGGTTTGGACTGTCATGTCTGACGGCGTGATCGTATTTTCCTAAAAATATTTTTGCTCCTCTTTGATCCAGGCGCTAATACCGTCACAACAGCAAGGCACCTATTACACGCAGCCGCTGTACGCTGCTCCGCCTCACGTCATCCATCACACGACGGTGGTCCAGCCCAACGGGATGCCTGCGGCCATGTACGCCCCGCCCATCCCTCCCTCTCGCCCTAACGGCGTAACCATGGGGATGGTAGCGGGCACAACCATGGCCATGTCAGCAGGTGAGCTTGGGCGGTTTCCAACACGTTAGCGGTGCGCTTCGGGACGAAACGAAACGTGTTTGTTTGTGTTTCTTTCTAGGAACTTTGTTGACAAGTCCATCACCAGCACCCGTTGCCCCCCACCAAGTTACGATGCCCACGTATCGGCCCCCCGGCACCCCCAGCTACAGTTATGTGCCCTCACAGTGGTGAAGAGACTGAAGCGTGAGTCCAGTGTATGACTGAATATCCAAAATCTCTCAATATTGCAGAAATATTCACGTCCCTTTAACTTTTTCACATTTTATCACATCACAAACGTCAAGAGTGTTAAAATTGATCAGTGCGAAAAGATTTTAATTTTAAGAAATAAATATGGAATGCGGACACAGCGGTTACTTTTTCAACAATTTGTTAAAGGGTTTTATCGATGCATTCTGGCATCCATAAAACATTGAGAACATTCATGATCCTAGTATGAAAATGAGTTTGTTTTTTATGTGTCAAAATGTGAAGAAAAATAAAGTAGTTCAAAGGGTGTGAATAGTTTTCGAGCGGCGCGCAGAAACCCGTCTTGACTCATGCCCGTTCTTCTCCCCGCAGGTCGCAAAGGCGTTAGATATGCATTCACACTCTACTCCAGTGTTTTTTGCTCTCGGCAGCGGCCTGCCCTCGCAGCGTCTGCAAACCACTTAGTCTTCTTCCAGCATAATGTGAATCTAAAGCCCAACTAACATAGATCAGAGCCTCGTTCCAACATGGAGGGGGCTTGGAAGGATAGGCCCATCTCCATGTATCCCTCCCCTTACCCCATCCCTCTTATATCAACAAGGCTGCATTCCCCCATCCCCCCCACTTTCCTTCCAGTCCCCGCCAGCATCAGCACCTCTGCAGCCTGGCCTCATATCTCACATCAAACTGCAAAAAAAAAAAAAAAAAAAACCTCCAGGCGAACCTTTTGTGGACTGTCATGCAGGTTTTTATAGCTTAAACTCTGAAGTGGTAAAAAGGGAGTTCTATTTCTTTTTTTGTTTGTTTCCTTTTTTAATTATTATTATTATTTGGAGGATACCTATGACGTTGAATGCATGTGTGTGTGTGTATATAAATATATATATATAGATATATGAAGTAATGCTAGCTTGATCTACCTGCTGTGACAGATGCAAAGTCAATAAAAGGCACACGTCCAAAGGAACTAAAAAAAAAAAAAAAGTAATAATCTGCAATGCTGAATCACCAGTGACTGTCTCATAAATGTGAAAAAAAAAAAAGATTTTTCATGCAAAAACGTGCCTGCGTACTCCGACGCAGAGTCTTACCATTTCCACTGCTTTCGATATGTAACGCAAGGTTTTTATTGTTTCCTTAAATGACGCAGCGTCTTTACTTTACTTTTTTTTTTTTTTTGTATTTTGGGGGGAGGGGAAAAAAGAGATGGGGAGTGTTTGAGTTCGTGCCTCTGACTGACAGCCATTCCGCAACTTAACCAGCCCGAGTGTTTCATTTCTTTTTCTTCTTCTTTTTCTGTGTTTTTAGGAAAACTTGCTTTCTAAAAAAAAAAAACAAAAATAGAAAAAAGACCAAAAGCAGTTTCGGCCTATTAGAGCTGCAGCGTCTTCGTTTTGGCCAGAAGTGTTCTTTAGCAAGGAACGGAGAGAAGTTGGGGGAATCGTTTGACGAGAACAAATGAATGGGAACGCCATTTTGTGTGTGTGCGTGTGTGTGTGTAGGCGTGGGCGTGTGTGCGCGCACGCGTAAAAGAAACGGTCTTAATGTTGAAAAATAAAAAATGTTCATAAAAAGCGGTGCCATACAAGTGCAACATGCTTTAAACGTTCACATCGAGCTAGTTTGTGTCCAGGTAGCTCTGACGCACTACAGCATTAAATCACTGCTAACTGTGGCTATGTTAGGAAAACATCATATTGTTCAAGTCCAGTTGTGAATAGCACTACTGAATGAAGGCACTAAGTGAAAACAGTTGAAGATGTTTTTTTTTCTTTGATTTACCCTTCGACATGGCTCGCTGTCTTACCTCAAACTAAACCCACCAGTATCACTCGTTTCAGAAATGCTTTTTCTATGTTGCCTCGGTCACCTCAGTTAAATAATCTGTTTTGTAAATGTTATTTTTGTGATTTTGGTTCATGTTTTGTACTCTAAAAATAAAAACCAACTATAAGGGAAAACCTCTGTGTCTCTCTCTTTTTTTTTTTCAAATACTTTCCACTGAATAAATAATGACTTTACACTTACGTAACTCATTTTCAGGTATAAGTAGTTCCATTGAATATAATAAATGAGCCTATAAAAACAATTTTATTTTCTCTTTGCAAGTAGCACCTGCCTAAAAATACAGGATATGCAATTGTTGCTAGTAATTTTCTTTTTGGCTTCGTCTTTTAAAATATCTTTTTTTGTAAATATGTTTCTAATTAACATATCATTTCCTTCTACTTCCGAATTAACTATATATTCTTCTATTTTATAACGCCTTGAGAATATATGTGGAAGTTTTTCGTTGCAATGTGACAAAATGTTTCGGCAAGTCACCTTATGAGGGTGAAAGAGTTTGCCTTGAACAGTAGAGGGCGCCAGAACCACAGACGCTCAGCCGCCAGAAGAAGACTTCCCATGATGCAACTCGGCGCGCTAACTTCAAGGTAGAGAGACATGTTTGTTTTCAGTTCAGCGCAGATATTTGCCTCTTTGCTGTAGCTGTGTCTCAAACCTGTTGGTGTAAATACTATTCGTGTCTTTCCTTCGAGCTAAATGAGCCGCAACGAATTTGTAGTATTTTAGTAGCTGAAGCTGTCTTTGAAAATTCGCAGCTGCGTTTATTAAATAGTCAGAGTCTAGCCTACATTTAAATGAATAAAAAAATAACTTGCTGACGGGTCAACCGAGGATGAGCAGTCCAGGAGACCGCAGCGGCTGCTCCGTCAGTCCCGCTGACCTCTTTGAGGACGTTTGGAGGCAGCTAAAAGAGTGCCACCAGAACACGGTACAAGGTAACACACCCCGCCGAGATTAAATACAAGTAACTTAAAACTGTGTTTTAGACATTCACGTTCAGCATTTTTCATCTTCTAGAATATGAGTCGAAAGTGAGTAAGCTGAAAAAGGACCGCTGTCTGTGAGTATGTTGCACCATTTGCTAACTGCACTGATCACCCGCAGGCCAGCTGAGGTTAACTTTGTTTCGTTGCAGAGACGCTCAGAAGCTGGAGGTGTTTTATAATCGCAACCAGCAGCTCAAGGAACAAAACAAAAGCCTCCAGGACTCCATCGGCCTGCTGGAAGACAGGTAACCTCCTCACAGACTCACACTTCTGATTTGCCCAGGGAACTTTTAGGGTAAACAGAATGGTGGATCTTGTTGCATTGCAGACAAGAGAACAAAATTAGGATAGCTTTAAAAATAAAATAAAAGCATGCTTTGTAGGTTCAAGTTACATTTATTTCCAATGCACATATAGAAGCTAAAAGTCCAAATAGCTCCAAATTAAGATGTGGGTAATGACTACTAATGCATTTTCAAACCAATGGGAAGATTTGGATTATGCCTCCATAATTGTTGCATCTGTCTAAGCGGACAGTTGACAGGCTACATCACATTTGAAGTGTCACAATTGTGCTGTAAGACATCTAGCAAACTGAGAAGAACATTTCCTGTTTCCAGGCTCCGTGTCGCAGAGTGTGATCGATGCGCTGCCTTGGAGGAGAAGCTGAAAAGCAGTCAGGATCAGAATATGGTTGTCATCACTAAACTAAGTAATTTTTTTTTTTTCTATACTAAGAGGCACTTTCAACCAGGAGAAAACGTTTGGGAACCACTGATCTAAAGTATAAAAGCTGCAGTAACCCTAACCCCATAAATATTTTTTTTTACACATTTTGAAACCTGTCACCATATAGTGACAGACTGGTATCAGATGGATAATTGAAAAAAATTTAGCTCCTCTGTCTTTCCTCAGTGCAACCAATCAGAGTCAAGAGGCGGGTCTTTGCGCTGTCAATCACTCATCAGTGTGGCTGGTCATCCCCATCCCCACGTGCTCTGATTGTTTTAAATACATTTAGACTAATTGATGTACAATGAGAGAAACCATCCGATCACGCAGCCAAAGATGTTTTAAAAGGTTTATAAAAAAAAAGCTAATAAAAGTATTAAGAAGTTTAGTTATTGATTAATCTATTGCTTATTCTACTTACCAAAGCCTGAAGAACCATGTGTGTTTTGAACCTTTGTCACTCTGACCATCACTGGGCATAATGATCTTACATTCTGGGATGTATTTAAGAGTTTTTTTAAAAAATTTTTTATACCTTCCAGAAAATGAGAATAAAAACCTGGAAGATGAAAACAGAAATCTTCAAGCTGAACTGCAAAAGATGAAGATGCGTCAGTAAGTCTGCTAGCTTAAATAAATGCAGCATGAAATTTAGTTTTCTTTCATTTAAAGTCAAATCATTTATTGTTAAAGTTTCACTTCTGGTGTTGAAAAGACAAAAACAAAACATTTCTAGCTATTCTCTGGTAATGTTAGTGACTTTTTCAGGTTCTGGTGTCAGACAGGAAGGTAGAGGAAGGTTTCACTTCCCCTTTCATCAGCAGATGTTGTTTTTGCATCAGTGCGGACCTGGAGGAGACGTCGGAGCGGGACGAGGGCGTCATCCCGGACTCGCCGATCCTGACCAGCTCACTGCCAGCGGCGAGCAGACTGAGGAAACGTAAACACCCCGACAAGAGCAGACGTGTTCGTTACGCAGAGACGCCGCTGCTGCAGAAGAATAACTCCCTCTTTAATGGTCGGCCCCATCTTGAGGCACCAACAATCAGCTCTCATGGTGATAAAATATATCTTTATCTGTTTTTTTATTCTCATTAAAGAGTTGAAGAAAGAGGCTGATGGAGGTGCAAAGAATTCTGGGAGAGAAGTGCTTGTGCCAAACACCTGTGAACTGGACACATCCCAGAGCTCAAGTATAACCACACCTACTGGTTTTTACAGCTTAATGACACCAGAAAGAGGGAAAAAATACATAAAGAAATCGCATATTTACCAAGTACAATACTCGTACTATTGTTTGTAGAATTTCAGATTAAGATTCTGTAAAGTTTGGTGGTCTTTTTCTTTTTTTTTTTAAGTCGTACTGTGGACTTTTATTTTGAAATTTCTATTATTTCAGATGACATGAAAGAAGAAACTGAGGAGGTAGTTGCAGAAACGTGCGCTTTAGAGGTGCTTGACTGTCGCCATCTTGTAAGTACAGCTCTGTGTGATTAACATACAGCGCCCAACACATGCAACAAAAATATATTCATATTTTATTGCATTAGTGATGGATCTAGTGAAATATTTCTACATTATGGAACAAATTGCTTTAAGCAAGTCAGAAGTGCTATATTTATTTCAACTCTTAATTTCTACAAAATAAAAGTCCCTCCATGTTTTTTAAATTTGTACTTGTAGGTTGATTAGA